GGGGGGAGCAGCCGCGGGGCGGGCGGCCAGGGCAAGAAGGACCAAAAGGGGCCCCCGAGAACCTCCCAAAGCTCAGCAAAGGCAAACGCAAATTCCTGTGCCGGGGATGGAAAAGCCCCGAGCGCCACGAGCGAGGAGCGTGCCCCCGCAGCCGAGGAGCACCAGCGCTTTCGGGGCTGCGAGAGCTGGCAGCAGCCAGCAGGACAAGGGGAGGGACGTCTTCCCCGCTATTCAGCGCTTGCAAAGCCACAGCAGGAACGTTCAGGGTGGTTTTGGCTTCCCCAGGACAAGACTGCGTAAGCCCAGTAAAGGGCAGCGAGACGGTGGGGGCTGGATAAGGGAAGGCTGGGAGCGATGGCTTCGCGCAGCGCTTGGCAGCGGCGGGCGAGGGGAGAGGGCCCCGGGGGGGCGGCGAGGGGAAAAGGGGAAACGGAGCCAGACTCCTCTCGGCAGCGCACAGGGATGGGACAAGAGGCAACAGCCAGGCTGGAAGAGGGGAAACGCGCAGGAGGTACTGGGGGAAACTCCTTCCCTACGAGGGCAGTCACACACTGGAGCAGCGGCCCAGAGTCCTTGGCACCAGGGAGATGGGCTCCACTTCCCCACTAGGGACGGGGGCAAAGGCTCAGCAGGGCCGCGTCACGGGGACACGCAACAGCCTCATCGCTGGAAGCTTCCTTGGGAGAAGACGCTTTGCGGCAGCACCCAGCTCCTGGGACCACCAGCAGCTGCAGCGTCTCCCAGGTGACTCAGTGGAGCCAGACATGCCCTGGGTGCTCTGCTGGGGAAACCCTGCCCGTGTAAAGCAGGGGACGTGCCTTGGGTGCTGGGAGCAAGGCAGCTCTGGAGGGTGGCCCTCGGTTGGTGGGAAAGGCATTGCTCCTGACAGCGGTGGGCAGGCTGCCCAGGGAGGGCTGCATCCATCCACCTCCCCGCCTGCCTGGCATTGCCAACGTCACAGCAGCAGCTGCACCCACTGCCCGGGGCCAGACCTAGCCTGGTACAGCTTCCCTTCCCTGGTTGCCGTAAGGAGCATCTGGACAGCTTCAGAGGGACTGGAGAGCAGGGAGTCATTGCCTGCAAGCACAAGAGCAGCTCTGGTATCAGAGCGGGGCTGCGGCTGCCCCAGCTTGCATGGCTCCTCCCAAGCAGTCCAGACACATAACGGGAGGCACCAACGGCGAGCGGCGCATTTGGGAGGCTCTGCTCAAGTTCACAATTTGTTGTGATATCCAAGTGTTTCCAGGAGAGTGTTATTACTGACAGGCAACAGAATAGGCTCCACCAGTCTCCGAGCAGCTTCCCAGTTGCCGGGCAGCAAGTCTGCAACAACCTCGGGGTCGCACACTCTGTCCCCTGAGCTCCTTGACACGGCTCCTGGTCCAAGAGCCGAGGAAGCACGCAACTCCATTCTTGTGGGAAGTCCTGGCCTTACGCCCGAGAGAGCAGCAATTCCCTTTGGCCCCAAGTTGGCAGGGGTGCTCGGAGGCGTTGGCTGCCTGAGGCTTCCCAGTTTTGAGGAGGAGCACTTTGAGGCACACTTGGCCGGCCCTATTCTAGACTCAGGTCCACCTCAGAAAGGCTTCCTAAAGAAACGGCAAGCAATATTAAAAGGGAAAGTGCTGGGCATCAGTGCACCACACATGTGCTGGTCAAAAGCACTGCCACCATGCCCAGAAAAGAGGTTTTGAAGCAGGTAGAACCGAGCACTGTCCATTCTGCATCCTCCCTGGGCAACGGCATTCAAGGTAATAAGGAAACAGAAAGGGACTTTCCAAAATACTGGTTTTCAAGTTAAGTATTTTTATTATCAAAATTATTACATCTCTTGTGAAAGTTCAAATGTTACAGCATGGTGTAAAAACTCCACTAGAGTAAGAAGCTACAGCCCCCACCTTTCCAAGAGCTTTCCAGGGTCCCTCCCTCCTGCCCCCCTGCTGCATACAAAGGTGCTGGAGCCTCTGCGCAGGGCTCCCCCGCCCCAAACCCCTTCCTGCCACCCGGCAGGGCAGAGCCTGCCTGCCCCATGCTGTTCATAGCATGAAAGGGGAGGCTGCACACCCAGGGCTAAGCTGAGTGAAGTTTACACCTATTTTATACAGTATACAGACACCCAACTGTGGGGTGACAAGTTCCATCCCAACACGCTCACAGCCAGACAGTGTGAGAAAGTTACTCTTTGTTTCAATATTTTAAAAGTCTCCCCTAGGTTGAACAAACACCTGATTTCAATTGTGAATTAGAGAAACCTGTAACAGTCCTAAAAAAGGAAGAAGACTGTGCATCTGAAAGACAGGGGAGACAGACTCACAGCATTATGTTATCCAAGAGAAAGGAGAAGTTCCACTGCAGCACCAGGGATGACACCTGTCGTATATTAGCTAACCTACTATGGTTATAACTGAATATAAAATTAGATAAATAAAAACACGCCCGATATTACAGTAAACAAGTGAGAAAGAAGCTGGCAATCTTATGGAATTGAACAGACAGCGCACCGTGTTTGGGCTGGCTCTGCTGCCACACTCGGCGTACAACCTCAGGTGGGAAAAATTCTGCACCACGCTTTACAAAGAGTATCTGGCTCGGCATAGACCAGGGTCCCCACCAAATCCGTAGTACACCTGTACTTACCACTGCTACCTATTTGCAACCCCTCCACAAACAGTCACTCACTCCTCAACCAGACAGCCTCCAGCACACCCCACTATCACGTTGCCTACCGGGCCCCCAGTCACCCCCTCCAAAGCGTGTCTGTGCGCTGGCAGACACCCTTGCGGCAGTACCACCCCAGCAATGCTCCCATCCACCGGCCTGTGCCTGACGCGGGATCACACCCCCTCAGAGCAGCATGCTACAGTGCATCCCAGATCCCTTGCAGTGACAGGCACACATGCTCCAACTCCCCGTGCTGGTTCACATTTGCAGAGGCTCTGTTGTCCTGGAAAAAGATCTGACTGTGGCAGTCATGACCCAGGCCCAAAGGCAGCTGTGTGCGCTCATCTGCTTGTGACTGGAATGATCATAACGGATTAAAGCCCTCCCCAGAACACACTGAGAACCTGACCTATAAAGAGAGCTTTGGGATTGGAGTTAAACTTCCCCAATATTTTCTTTAAACTGCTTTCATATTAAAAAAGATGTCCGTACTGCATGAGTGACTATGGCCATGGGCACGGACAAGAGACAGAGGCTGCACCACAGTCATTGCACTTGAACCATTTGCTTTTTTTGCAATGTACCCACGCATCAGGGAACAGCTTTGCTACAGTCTCTGCCTCAGAGAAATTCCCCTACAAGGCCAGAGGCCAATACTGCTCACAAATCTCACCCGTGCATTTCAGACCTCAGCCTCTGACCCCTGGCACCCCAGCATCAGGTGCAGCCTCCTAACACTGGCCCAGGAGCCACTTCCAGAGGTGACTAGAAGGAGCTATGGGCAGTTTTGTCCTCCTCAAGTCCAGGCAGCCCTAGGAAAGCCCTGTCTGAGTCTTTACTCCTGAACCTTGAAGCTGCTGAAGTCTGTACTGATGGACACTGCTTCCCCCACGGTGCTGATAGTGTTGTGCATTGGAAATCACTGCCCCCCTGGAGCCCTGGTAGAGAACAGACTGCCCAGAATTTGGCAGACTGATAGTCCGCAAGTCTGACTGTAGCGACCTAGCATTTTGGAGAGCAGAGGTGGAGCCTGACGCTCCTGTGCAGGGCTGAGAAACAGACTCGGAGGAAAGAGAGTCCACAGGCGTTTGCTGTGCTGGGCTGGCAGCAGCAGGGCAACTCTTCTTCAGGAGGCTGCCGCTGACACTGCCAGAGTGCTGCTGGCTGCTGTAATACCCCGAATTCCCTGCAAACAGGGCAGAGTCTGTGGAGACCGAGTGGGCAGGGCTGGAGTACGAGGTGGAGGAGAGGGATGTTTCTGAGGAACCATGAGAGAGGCTGTGTCCTGTCCTCTGTGCTGCTGCTCGATAGCTGTACCCAGGAGATGGAGTAAGGTGTCCTCGGTAGGGGGAGGAACTTTGCTGGAGAAGGGTCTGCGATTCTGCCTGGGGACTGTCAGACTGCAGGAGCTGAACAAGTCAGTAGGAAAAAAGGCATGGTAAGCACAGACTGACTTTGTCATTCTCTACCTCCTCATCATGCTGTACTTCAGCGTAGTGAGACCAGAAATAATTGTCTGCCAAACCCAGTTTCCCCCTAAAGTTGTCTAAAGTTTTATTTCAGAATGTGCAAAAAAAAAAAGACAGAATTTACCTGGTAGCTGTATCTAGAAGGACTGTAAACTGCTGGTCCTTTGAGGGCATCTGGAGTGTCTCCTTCTGCTGCGTCTGCAACGTACAGCACAATTGAGACGTTAAATTTCACCCTTGGGACTGAGATCACAGTAGTTTCCCCCCAAGTGACACATGTGCACACTGCAGCTGTCTTGTTCTGCATACTGTCACCCTAGAACCCTAACAAAAGGCAACTGGAAAACCTTAACATGCAGAAACTAGCCACACAAGTAAGGATCAGCTACTTCCCTTACACCACCTCTGCTCCGGTTTAGTGCAAAGCTCCCTGCAAAGGCGTTTACCTTGGACAAGTCTGTCTTAATAGCGCTACCTGGCAATACCATACAGCCTGCTTGTGCTCCCTTGGCTTTCCAGAAGGGTATGAGAGGTAAAAGACAGTTTCTAAGGACTCAGTAATTCTCCACTCAGCCTCAGTCATGGGAATCCACAATGGCTACAGTTACAGCTGAGGAAAACAAAACTGTCCTTCTTTAGAGGGGTTGTCACAGCAGGGATCTTGCTGTAGGCTCTCCTCAAAGGCAGATCCAGACAATGCTGAAGACTGAAGTCCCACACTGCGAAGGCTGGCAGCACCCCTGCTTCCATTTGGGGGATTATGCTTGACAAGTTAATTGAATTGCTCCAAACCGAGTTTCTCCTAGACCCCAGGAATGCTTACTCGGAAACAAGCCAGGATAGTGAAAATGCCTTGACACTTGAGGAGTAACAACAGTCCAGTACACACTGATCCACCTTAGCCACATTAGTGTCTGCCTTTTGCATGACTTGGATTCAGCTGTAAATATGAGAAGACAGGCCAAAGTGTCTGGTCCAGGTAACAAAGCAATACTTTAAAGCTGTCCAAGGAAAGAAGTTTTCCTCTCTGACTCAAGGATGGCTTGGGAAGATGACTAGCCAGGTTGGCTGATCAACTAAATTCAGCTGAAACTTTTGAGTCCAGTCTCAGAATCCTACTGCTCTTGAGAAAGGGCATGTCTGCACATGATATTTTAAACCTGACCACGGCAAGACCTTGCAAAGGGAAAAAGATGATATGCTAAGTCTGACAGTGACCCTCAAAGAGTAAATTTGAGGTCCCATGAGCAGCAGGTTGGTTTGACAGATGCTCTGTAAGGCCTTAATGTCACTGACAAAAAGCAAAGTTAAAGTTCCTGAGTGTTAGAGGCCAACGGCAGACACTGAATGAATTAAATGCCAGCATCAGCGTGTTACGGCAGCAAGGCCTTGACCAGTCCAGATTACACTGCGTTGCCCAAACGGAACCATTTTGCATTTCGAAGAACCAGTTTGTCCCTCAAGCAGCCTTCTGCTTGCATGAGCAGCTCCTGAACTCGTTAAGAAGAGATCAGTCAAGGGTGCTCAAGTACCAGCTGACAGCCAGGTTCTTCTGTGGAACCCCCACAGGCTGGCATGTGCCATCTAGACAGTTTAGAAATATCAGGGCTACAAACAGGCCCATACGAGAAGCTTCACAGTCAAAAATACCTCAAGCAATAGGGAATTATCAGAATTAGCATGGTATTGGCTCTTCTGACTTGGAACACCTGTCCATGAAGTGGAGAAAGTCCATGAAAAGATACATTAGGCCTTTGGACTGCAACTTCAGCACAGGCTTACACCTCCTAGGGAAGATCTAGAGCTTGGTGTTCATCTTTACGATAAAACAATCTTTTGGGAAGAAAGAGCAAGTCCATATAAAAACAGGGTAAAAACAGAACAGAGCACAAGAGGTGAGAAAGGTTATACCTAAAACATACTTGAAAAGTCTGTGTGATTTTGTTTAAAAGCCTCCAGCAACGGAGATTTCTCTCCATGTGGACAGCCTCACTGTGTATTTTCTTAACATAACTTCATTGTGGAGCTGTTAGTTCTCCTGAACATTTTTTTCCTTAGCTTTTTTTTTTTTTTCCACCCCACGTGGAGTTCTACCTACCAGTTCAAGTTTATTAAAATCTGCCTTCTTAAATTCCACGATCTCTATTTGGTTAGCCTCCTTCTTTGCCTTTGTAAAAGCAACAACCCAACGCTGCCTTCTAAGTTTTATGTTCTCAGCCAGCTCCTCTTCCTTGGATATCTACGAGGAAATAAGCAATGACTAAACATGACTGCCCACCATATGTTTTCACAGGAAACATATGCGAGGTCACTGCTGATACCTCGTAGGTAGAGAGACAAATGGGCAGGTAGCATCACAGCCTAACAACTTTGTGGCAGAGACTGGATGGCTCTGTGCCTTCCTCACTGTCTGACAGAAGTTACAGACGTGTCTGCCGAGGCTGGTGCCAAGTGAAGCAGCAGGAGCTGCAGGACTGCCAGCAGATCAGAGAGAGGGCCCTGCCACCCAGGATATTATTCTGATCGCCGGTAGCATTTGCAGAGCTTCAAGAGGAGGCAGTGAAACCCCTTCAGCTCATACAGCAAGCTCCCATCAGAAAGGCCGTGGAAAAGGGACAGGAGGGGCTGGTAGCAGGAAGAGCCAGAAAACATGAGACAGCATAGGGCACTGGCTTCCACTACTCATCTCTCTGGTGTTTTAGTGGATTACTTTGGTAAAATAGGAAAGTGGTTTCCACAGAAAGTTCTCTAAATAAGGGATGATGGAGCATCTGGCAGTTTCAGCAAATTTGCTAATGCAATCTGGAGTCAGGTATACCCCTGCACAGACTGCTGGTGACACGTATTTCAGCAGCTTCCTACAAGAGTAGCTTGCAGGGATAGGATGGAAGCTGCTTAACTCTGATCCAAGACAGCCTGACTCGCATGCAAGTCTGTGGAGTGCAAAGCAGGACTGGTGTCTCAAAAACCAAGTTCTTGCTGCAGCATGTCCTTTTATAAAGGCACCCAAATTGCGTGCGAGAGTGTCCTGTTAAGTGTCAGTAAGGTAGTCAACAGTTCTGTCTTCTCAATGAAGGTGTTCACTGCTTCCCAGAAAAGCCATCTAACTACCAGCTGCCCCACCTGCTTATCTCCATAAGTTCCTCTCCCTATTTGCATACGGAAACTGAAAGAAATGTCACTTGACTAGCCAAAAATAACTTTTTGAGCCAGGACAGAGAAATCCAGCAATTCAGTCAGAGCTGCAAAGATCAAGAGGAATAAGCTTTTTTTTTTTTGGTTAAAAAAAAAAAACCCACAGAATTAGCCTGAGACCAGATCTTAGAGTGCAGGTGATCTTTTTGTACCACTAAATAACTGAAATTGAACTCAGGTGGGCAAGAAGTACTTACTGTAAGTAACCCATTCACTTTGCCCCATCTGTTTTTCAGTTGTCACTACTGTAACCATGGGGTTTCGCTAGTAATCACACTTCTTTAGGGGACAGAGAAGCTGATGGGACTAGATTTCACATCAGAATTACTGTGCTGCAGTCTAATGTGACAGGGCTGTTTATCTGCAGCATCCCAGTGATCCTCAACAGCAGCTTTTGGAATGCCTTGGTGAAATAGTGCTGGTATTAATATCAAATTTACATGGCAGATGTCCCTCAGCCATGAAACAGGACACGCTGGCTGAGCCTGCTCTGTACTTCTGCCAGACAGGTCTCCTTCCCCTGTCTGGCTTTGCACCAGACACACTGGTACAAGCGCTGCTTGTAGCTGGCAGCAGCACCCATGGTTTTGCAGTGGTTGTCCTCTCTGTGTCTATCATGGTTGCTGGCTTAGCTAAACGGAAATCGGGATTAAGTTGGCCTGTCTGCTATTGAGGCTCAGCAGCCTTCTTCCTCAGGACACAAGACCTTCAGAGACCAGGACACAAAGCTTCCAGCATGTCCCCTGTGCCTTTTTTCATTCTCCAAAACTACACCTGCTGCTTGCTGCAGGTGACATTCCTAGCAGGGCCCTGCAGAAGTTTTCCTGTCTGAACTTCATTCAGCCTTCTGAAAATTTGTGTGATCTGTCACTTCTTACGAAAACCACTCTACTCCAACAGCCCCGCCTTTACAGGCGCCCCAAAGATAGTCCCTAATCATCTGGTGTATTAAAGACCAACATTTGCAAAGTCTTTCAATATCAAGGACAGCATTTTGACAATGTCAGTGCAGAAGATGACTGTAAATAATAGAGCAAAATGAAGTTTCTAGAATCTCCAGATTGTCGATATTTTGTTTCTTAAAAGGCCAGGCACACCAACAGCGCTGTATACATTACTGGCAGTTTCTGCTCACAGAAGAATTCTTGACAAGATGAAGACTAAAGACCCGAAGTTACCAAGGGTGACTAAATTATAGCCTTCCTGAATTTGGTTGATGTAACCTTAAGAAAGGTAAAGCCACCGTTTCCCTCCTCCATTTCCTAATATCTGCACAGGAAAGGACAGCGTGGGAGTGGGAACTGCTTCTTTTCTTGGCAATACTGGCCTGTGTCAACCTAAAGCGTACATGAAGTGACAGTTTTAACCCACAGCAGCCGCAGTTCTCAGAAGCGCGGCATGCACACAAATTTCACTTAATTCATACATGCCCCATAAACAACCCTGATTATTTTTTTCCCCCCCATATCATCATTCATTAGGGCAGCAAGTACACATGTAATACAGTCACAGCTGCTGCAGGTGACACCAGGAATGGCAGGGACTCAATCACTCATTTTGTTTCACTGGTAAGTAGCCCAGCAATTGGGGGAGGGATGACAGCTCACAATATAAACAAGCTCCTAGAAGAAATTGCAGGAGTATGCAAAAGAAGAAAAAAAAATATGGTGCTGTGCTTGGATAAAAGAGATGAAAAATATTAAGTTTTCAGTAGCTGGAGTAGAACGGGGTTTTATGTAGCAAGGAAAAAGAATGGATTGACTTAGGTGAAGGCTAATTCTAGCCGAAGGCTAATTCTAGCCTGACTCTTGGGTGAGACTGAAGAGCCAGATCCATACAGAACACAGTATGCGAAAGACCTGTTGCAGGAGTCTGAATTTTGCCTGCCCTTCTAGCCCATAATCACCAAGAAAGTTATTTCCACTGGCAATGACAAAGAGAAGAAACAGACTCTCAGTGGGGTCCCATGAAACCAGTGACATTTTGATAAAATAGAGGATCCCCCTCTCAAGAATACATGAGCAAAGAGATTGGAAAAGATACTCTTAGGTGTACAGAAACAGCAAAACCCCGGATGAGAGGCCAATTTGCAGAAAGCATTCCTAGATACACCTTCCTTAAGCTGCAGGAAAAGTCTGACTGGGAATGAAGTAAATATATTCCTGTAAAAACGCTCAGAACTGAGATAGCCCAGAGGCAAGAGTTGCTATTGCTGCTGAATTATCTAAAGAGAGCTCTAAAGTAGTCTGAGTTAAAAGGCGCTAGCCTTTCCATGTCTAAAATTCCCCAGACCAGGTTCTGATTTCTAAAAGAGATTCAAATCCCTACTACAAATCATCAACCAGCTAACGTTATCAGCTAAGAGTTGCTAATCCTCAGCTATGAGGAAGGAGGGGCTCATGACAGACAGGTTAAGTTATTTAAGTATGATAAGCCATCATTGTAAAACCCAAGTGTGATCCAGGTTCTATTAGGCAGAGCACTATGTTACTGAAAAAACAATCTACGCTCTGTAGAGCTTGCTAAATAAAAGTATTCCACAATTGGGAATTTAGGCAATGATGGAGTGTTCTGTCCATCTTACAGGAAGTCTTATCTCACCCCAAAACCATAGGTGGATAGAGGGAGGTACCATTTCAGCTCAGGTCACAAATACTCACCGACCCTGCACGATGTTCAGCAAGGACACCCCTTAATTCAGAGAAGGAAGGAACATCTACACAGAACTGAATTCACCTCAGTCCTTAGGTGAATTTTACATAACTAAGTGTCATAACTCAAGGAACCAGGAAACTTCAAACACAGAGCTGAAGTAAGGCTTGGAAGCTAAATTACTTCTTTGCACTGCCTAAACCCTACATCTGCATTTTGGCGTGATATATCCAGCTATTCAGGTAGCTTTACAACTATTCAATGGCAACATCTTCATCCCCAGTATATAGGAGCAACTGAGGCAGTGATGGTTAACACATTTGCCCAAGGTCAAAGAAGCTGTCCCTGGCAGAGCTAAGATGCAGGTGATCTTGAAACTCAGAGGTCTTCCAGGTTTAAGAGGAGAGGGAAATAAGCTCAAGAGATATATCTGAATCATGACAAAGTATGGTTTGCAGAAGGCTTTTATAAGGCAAAGATGGCGTTACAGAGGAACGTACAACTAACTTCACAGACAAGTCTACATACAAAGCTATCTGAGCGAGTCGTTTCCCATCAAACAAGCATTCCAAAGGCTCATCTTCTTACCCGGATCTCTCTCAACAGCACCGTCAGCTGTAGGTGAGGATTCATTTCTCTGAGATACCTTTGCACCACTTCGCAGGACCTTCTCAAGTATGCCTCGGCCCTCTCGAAGTCTCTCCACTGAGGTTGGAACCATCCTGCAACAAAAAAACAGTAGCAGCTAAGGATTGTTACACTGCAGCTGAGAGCAACGTGACCAAAGCACAGGGGGGCTGTGGGGTCCTTGATATAATTACAAGACAGGCTTGTCTTTAAAATCCCAAAAGTTTCTGCCTGAAATCACTGGTAGGAAGTTAATGCAAACAATCCCCTACCGTAGAACAGGGGGATCAGAACGCCAGCTCTCTCAACAGATGAGGAATAAAATTTTGCACTGCTTTTGCAGTGTAAATACCCTCCTGCGGGACTGTCAATCACTGGCTACCATGATAGCACTGTCCTCAGAAAAATAAAATCTTTACTCTCATCAGAAACACATTATAAACATCCAGCTCAGTAGATCCTCTGATTACAAGACACTTTCTCCCAGAAAATTGTTTCAAGCTTCAACAACATTTTGCAAATCCTGGTGGTGTTTTAAAATCAGATGCAATTATTTTGCAGAGATGACTTTTGTTTGAACTAAAAAGTAGTAAAATCAGTACTTTGTGATAATACAGTGTTGAGATAGTACAGTCAGGGAGTGCAAGGTTCCTGGAGCAGAGCTAGCTTGGCCATTTTGCCCATTAGTGCTACTTTATCCTCTATGTTTTGTGGAAGTCTGCACTCAAGGCTGGTGCTACGTGCTGTTCAATTAGATACTACAAGAGTCTAGTCTGAGGGTGAAAAACAGAGGTGAAGTGGCTTTCCTAAAGCCAATCTGCAGGAGAAAAGTAGAGCCGCAGACTGCCCCCAGATCCCTGGGTCAATATTCAGTCTACCATTCACAGGACCATCCAAGTCTCTAAGTATGTGTTTTAACCTGTAAAACAGTAGCACCATGATCTGGGATTCTCAATGCCTTATCCTAGGCACTGAAAAAATGTGTGCCCTAAAAAGTCAGTAATTTAAATATTTAAAAATTTTAAATGCACTGCATACCATATAGGTATAAAAGGTGCTTGTGTAGCTTCATACTATATTTACAGATTTCCATTTTTTTTTCCTTTTTAAAAATATATTTAAAAAACTATGCTATACATTAGGTTTTGTGGGTTTTGTTTTGTCTTACAGCCCAGACATTGAAGTTCACCCCTCTATGAGGCAGAAGGGAGAAGGGGCCAGAGTTCACACCTCATGGAGGTGAATGGGGTGAGGGGGTGAATTCACACCTTCGTTGCTGCTATTGTTTTGCTGGAGACAGTTTTCTGCAAGGCTGGGTTTACTGGGCAGCAGCACATCTGTTTACATTGTGATGGCTGTATCTTGGCAACTGAAAGAGATAGAAACTTAATTTTTTTTAAATGAAAGCTATTGGCAGATATTGTAGAATTCAGCAAAAATCTGGACAACTCTAACAATTAAGGCATGTAATTTCAGTTCCCACCATTTTCTTCTGTCCCTAATATTATGTTATAGTGAATGTCTGGACATCTATCAGAAACGTAAGCACTCAAAGATGAAATTGGTTCACAGTTTTAACTCATTAACATGCACTTTCTAAAAGGTTTTTTTTTTTTTTTTTTTAAAGTGGAAGGGGACTGTACATTTGCTAGCCTCATCTATTAAAACACAGAACAGGAATTTAAATGGCAGCAAAACAGCTTAATCCCATTTCAAAACATATCAGTGGGGTTTCAACTTTCATATTCAGTGTCCTATGACAATACGGTCTTTAATCCCACACAACAATACTTACTCTTGAAATCATAGGGGAAAACTGAAGCCAGAGCATCTGCTGAGGAGCAGCAGATGAAGCTCATAGAATAAAAAGCACCACACTGGAGGAAGGTTACCACACGTGCACCTCATCTCGAACTATGTTTTTCCATTCAACTAGGTTTTTCATTCACCCTCTTGCAGGCAAAAAGAAGTGGCACAGGAGAAGGGAAGGGGATATCAACGCTTGTACAAAACAGATTATAAACTAGCTATCGGCTGACTGCCTCAGTCGTGGCCAATCCCAACATCTGACAAAAGGTCACCTGGTAGAGAGAGTACCGACAGACAAGTACAATACAAATCATTTCTGTACATCTCCACTTTAAGCGCTGACCACTTCCGGAGGATAGGAGGATTGGAAAAGGTAGGGAAGTGGATCTTGCTACTTCTGTAAATTCACCCCAAAACAGTGCTTCTCAAGCACTCCGCTCTCAGCATACACTTCATACTGCTCCTTCCCTTTAGCATTGCTCGGCATGTCTTCCCTCACCATCTTCCATTTATACGAGCAGTGACACAGGTGTATACGTGGAGAATCAGCATTAAGGCATGCTTTTTTGCCTGTGGTGTCCACAAATAGAACTTGAAAACAAAGCTGCAAAGCCGGCGTACTATGCAAATCCAAGCAGCAGAACACGTAACTGTCACTGCTTACAGACAACAATTAGACATCCCATGTTTCAGTGCTAAGGTTCTTAATTTTTTGGACCAGAGATTATCTTCAATTTTAAAACTTTTTGAAGACAAACATTTACCCTTATCAGGCTCTCCACAGTAATACGATAAAGGTGATTTGGTCATTTGGCAAGCCACTGACTACAGTCTGGTAACTGTGCAGGACACTAGGGAAGTCAGAGTTGTTTCAGATACTGGCCCTGCTTCTTACACGCAAAGTTACGGAGGGCTTTGCTAGCTTTCTTTCTGAACAGAAACTAGACTTAGTATCACA